GAACCAGCTCCAGATCTAGTGGACTTCTGGCCTGGTGTTATATGGCCCTTTGACCCCTGGGCATTGCAAGATGCCACCTTGAGCTTTCTTCATAGCCATGACAGCTAAAGCAGAACGCCACAGTAGCCAAGTCTATGCTGATGGTAATGAAGACCTTCTAGTCGCTTCTCTCGCTAGCCGAAGACACCTCTCCTCCCCATCATCCAGAGAGCAGTGACAGTCTGAGCTAACACTCCTCAACTGATCTCTGGAGACACTGGGCAAGTAGAAGGTTCACTGAAAAAGGGGACTCCATGATGGGAGGGACTTTGCAGTGATGCAGTTGTTTTGCCCCTATAAGTAACCCCTCACCTCTGCCCCATAAGCAAACCCAGTAAGTTCATTGGTTTCACCAATAGGACCTTAGTGAAATCATGCTTTGGGTTGTCACTGGTGCCCATCTGGGCTGGGGACATTCATCCGTGTCTCCCCAGGAGAATTCATGCAGCACCCGAGAAAGGAACGGGTGACATTACCCCAGACCCTGGAGCTCATCCTCAGATGAGCTGCCAGCAGGACCCCTGAAGGGCTCGCTGCGGGCAGGAACGGGGAACACGGCAGCAGTTTGTTATACATGACAGCTCTCTGAAAAGGACACAGCATTTTCTTGAGCAAATCTGAGCTAGGACCAGTGAGCTGACTGCAGCGGGTAAATACCAAAGGTTAGAAAGCAAGTCCTGCGGCATCGCCCTTTGGAAGGGACAGGCGCGGGGCCAGCAGGGACTCGTGGCATTCAGAATTAAGATCTGAGTATCTCAGCCGCACACCTCAGGGATGAAACGGACCAGGTCTATTTTAGCATCGTGAAGTTCCTGAGAGTTGGACCCAAATGATCTCTAATCATCACAGAATTTCAGATTTCTGGGCCTCTTTCCAAGCCTGCTATTAAGGCTGCTCATCAGAAGTAGCCACAGCAAGGGCCAGGGACCGTCGCTCAGAGGGGGCAGACTTGCAGAGGTCCTGAGAAGCCCCTGGGTTCAGGACCCTCTGTTTTCTCCGGAGGCCGCAGACCCTCAGCACCTTGTGCTTAATCTCAGCCAGGTGGAGAAGCCATCCTCAGCATAGGGGTCACAGGTCAGCTTCTGGCTATCTGACTTTTTCCTTTGGATGGGATTCCCCTCGCCTTACCAAGGGTCAATCCAGGAGTAGGGGTGTCCACCTGAGAAGGCTAATTTGGGCGTCAACTTATTGCCTTTTTTTTTGTCGTTGTTTTGGGTTTTCAAGACAGGGTTTCTCTGTAGTTTTTGGAGCCTGTCCTGGAACTCGCTGTATAGACCAAGCTGGCCTTGAACTCACAGAGATCCACCTGCCTCTGCCTCCCAAGTGTTGGGATTAACGGTGTGCCACCACTGCCCAGAGAGACCCAGTTGTTAGATCAAACTTTGTCTGTTGCCTTGAAGATGATTTTTAGATAAGATTTACTTTTATTTCAGTGGTTCCCAAGAAGAGTAGCTCATTTGGAGGGGTCCCATTCTAGCAGGTGCAGGCCCTGGGGGTAAAGGCCCATATGGTAGCTCACACCTTTGGTCCCAGCATTCCTGCTTGAGACTAAGGCAGGCAAAGGCAGGCAGATCTTTGTAAACTCAAGCTGGCCTGGTTCACATCGGATTTCAGGCTAGCCAGGGTTACACAGTGAGACCCTCCCTGGAAGGAAAGAAGGGAAGGAGGGAGGGAGGGAGGACGAGAGGAAGTGAGGGAGGGAGGGAGGAAGAAAGGAAGGAGCCCTGATTTATGACTTACCATTAGGAGACAAACAAACCTTCATTTTTGCTTTCTGTGGCTAATTACTGTTGGACTTGGGGCCTATCCCTAAGAGTGGTTTGTTTCCCCAGTAAGGTTCTCTTGGAGAAAACTAAATTTTTCATTTGCAAGTGGCTACCAACTAAAGCTAATGTCTGTGTTAAGGCTCGGGGTATGTGTCCTCATCTTCCTCCTCTAGGACCCTATCTGGTGCAGACCTGGGCAGACCCTGTGCGTGCTGCCTCAGTCTCTGGGTTTACGTGTACACGGGCTCTGTTGTGTCTAGAAGGCCTTGATTTCTTGGTATCCCTCAGCCCTGCTGACTCTTCGCTCTTGTTGCCTCCTCTTCCACAGTTCCCTGAGCCCCGACTGAGTGTGCCAAGGTCTCTCACTCTGTGCATCGTCAGACAGTGGCTTCTCTGCCTTTGTTACCATCTGCTGCAGGAGGAGGCGTCTCTGATGATGGCTGAACAAGGTGCTCACCCATGAATACATGCAATGTCCCTAGGAGTCATTTTATTGCTGAGCTCCTTCCGCAGAGCGGTAGTGTTTGGTTTGCCCCCAGGTCCCTGGCCTATCTAGTCTTAAGTTCTTGGCCACCAGAGCAGCACTGGGTAGGGTTCCATCTCATGGAGCAGGCCTTCACTCAAATCAGATATTGGTTGATTGTCCCCATGACCTTTGCTCTGCTATTGCACCAGCGTGCCTTGCAGCAGGAAGGTCACCCTCGAAGCTGGGTAGGTCCTTTGGGAGCACGCGGAGTCCCTTGAAGCACCAGGAGTGCTAGGCCGTGGGGGTGAAAGCGTTAGGTAAGCACCAGCTCAACTTCTCTGTTTTCAATGAGTTGCGTAGGTGTTGTTTTTAACAATCGGACCTAGCTGTGAGTTTGTAGAAACCATCAACAGCTGTGGTAATAGCTAAGACAAGATCTCTTTCTATAGCCTAGCTGTCCTGGAGCTCTCTCTATAGACCAGGTTGACCTTGAACTCAAGAGATCTGCCTGCTTCTGCCTCTAGAGGGATAGTAGATTAAATGCCCCCACTGGGCAGTGGTGGTAAGCATCTTTAATCCCAGCACTTGGGAGGCAGAGGCAAGAGGACCTCTGTGAGTTTGAGGCCAGCCTGGTCTACAGAGTGAGTTCCAGGACAGGCAGGCTGTTAGAGAAAGAGAAACGCTGTCTTGAAAAAGCAAAAATAAATAAATAAAAATTTTAAGAAGACCTGCATTCCGTGATCCCATACATCCCTATGCCTGGCTAATGATAATTTAAAAAATAAGAAGAGTTAAGAGCAAGGCTTCTACAGGAGGGAGGAACGAGACACCTCTGGTCTCAAGGCCTCAGCATTTGCTCCTGAAAATTTCAGACTTGCTCGGACCACAACCAGGTGAACTAGTTCCCCAAATCAGCACTTGCACTGCACTATCTGTCTGTCTGTCTGTCTCTCTCTGTCTCTGTCTCTCCTCTCCCTTCTCCCCCTCTCTCTGGAATCCTGACTGATCATGCCACCAGGACCCCAGAAAGCCACCAACCCAACAAACAAACCTCTTTACCGTGCCAGCACGGTCTGGAACCACGAGTCTCAGCGGAGGGTGTCCAGGTTGAATGAAATCCACAGTGCACGAGGTTGAGGTAAAACAGCAGCTTGTTTATTGTTCTGTTGGGGCTAGCTTTTATACCATGGCACCAAATGGGGAGGGGGCTGCGAAGGGACTGTCACCTGACCCAAGGAGGGACTCTCACCTGACCCCAGTAGGGGTCAAGGACTGATCACTTGCATTCAACCTTCACCTGTCCCCAGTAGAGACTGTCACCTGACCCCAGCAGGGATGAAGGAATAATCACGTGCACTCAAACTTCCTCATCCAACTCCAGGAGCAGAGGGAAGTTATGATTCTTTGCAGATAAGCACCTCAAATGGGGGCAGGGAAATATAACTCGGGGTAGCAATTCCCACACCTCTTTGTTTCTGTCTTGTTTCAGCTGGACACAGGGCCAAATAACCTTTCATCCCAGGGAAGCAGAATCAGGAAGACCAAGAATATAAAGTCATTCTCAGCTACATAGCAAGCCTAGCAGCCTAGGACACCTGCCACAGAAGCGATAGCAGGGCCAATGAGAGTCCTAGGGGGGTAAAGCCTTGCTGTATAAACCTGACAACCTGAGCTCAATCCACAGAACCCACCAGTAGCAGGCTTTTTCTTTTGGGTTACCAACCAGCTCCTAAGTCACGACATGGAGACTCATTAGTTTTGAATGCTCGGCCTAGTGTAGGCTCCTTTCTGGCTGGCTCTTTTAACTTAAATTAACCTGTTTCTCCTTATCTACTTTTTGCCTCGGGGCTTTTTACCTTTTCTTACTTTCCTGCTGCCTCTATGTCTGGCTGACTGATGGCTGCCTGGTTTCTTGCCCAGGTGTCTCCCTTGTTCTCCTCAGCCTAGATTTCTCCTATTTTTTCTCTCTGACCAGAAGCTCTGCCTGTCCTTTCTCCTGCCTTGCTATTAGCTGTTCATCTTTTTATTAAACCAATCAGAGGCCCTAGGCAGGCAAGGTGAGACAGATGCAGCACATCTTTTCATAATTAAATTCAATTCACATCCTTAGATCATTAAACAAATGCAGCAAAAACAAATGTAACACATCTTTGCCTTTAAACAATATTCCACAGCATCCACCCAAAGGCGAAAAGAGAGAACCAATTCCACAAAGTTGTCCCCTGACCTCTATATGTGTGGCACCGCGTGCATGCACCTACCTACACGTCATAGACACGTACTAACAATGATGATAGAATGTAAACAGCAAAAGCAGAAACAAAAGGAAGAAAGAAAGAAAAGGAGGGCTTAGGGGATAACTCAATCAGTAAAGGGCTTGAGTTCAGAAGTCATAAAAAAAAAAGCCAGGAGTAGTGACACAGGTTTGGGGTTTGCAATCCTAGCAATAGGCAGACAGAAACAGGAAGTTCCCAGGGGCTCACTGACCAGTCACATGGAGAATTCCAGATGCGAGGCTCTCTCTTGAAATGAAGAAGAAGAAGAGGAGGAAGAGGAGGAGAGGAGGAGGAGGAGAAGGAGGAAGAGGCAAAAGAAGAAGAGGAAGAAGAGGAAGAGGAAGAAGAAGAAGAAGAAGAAGAAGAAGAAGAAGAAGAAGAAGAAGA